CTGAAACTTTCTGAGCGCTACCCAGGACCATGTTTGAGCAACTGCGGGCGGAGAAAGCACTCACGTAGCCACTCACGCACGAACACGTAAAATTTGACATAACTGTGCAACCGAAGCATCTAGAGCACTGGCTCTTCTGGGCATGGACTGCGAGTCATTGTAATAATTTTTAACAGTTGTGGTGGCCAGTCCCAATTCTTTTAGCTAGAAGCATCTGCCAGGAAGAACGTGCCGCTGGCGGAAAAAAACCTGCGGGGGGAACTGCGCAAAAAACGCATCCTCATACCGGAAGCCGGTACGCTTTCTACTAGGTTGCAAATTGTGTAGGGCTCAAGTTGGGCCGAGCTGAGTTTTTGTTTTTGTCAGCTGTGAAAACTCGGCTCGGTTGATCGGCCTATTTTTTGTAGTGCTTTCTTTTTTTGGGTTCAAATTCTGGAGGTTATGAGGTCAGGTTCTTCGAGCAACTGGGGTCCCAGATGTCGCGTGCAAGGTTGCGGACCTGCTGTAAGCGTCAAGTTCTAAGCGGAGCATGAGGAACCCGCAGAGGATCCTTTCCTATAAACCCTGCCTCTGTTTCCACTTCCTCTTTCAGCTTTTTTGCAGTTGGTAACTGCACCTGCTGTCCTTCGCCACCACTGCGAAGCTCAAATCACTACCGCCGGCACCCTCCCGCCAAGCTGTCCAACCCCTTTCCCCCGTACATTAGGACTCGATTCGGCCAAGCCGCGCAGAGGTTCTAGTAATTGCCACGATTTTTCGCATTCAGTACGAATAATCTGGATGCTGTTATTTTGATTCGTTTTTTATGCGTTTTTTGCAGCAATGCAACGCGAAAAACGCATATTGACGAGAGGTTGTCTGTGTGTCCGTATGCTGTGTGCACGCCTGTCACGCACTTTCATCTCAGGACCTATAAAAGTTGTGAGGCTGAAATTTCGGGAACTTAATCTACATGCACGTTCCGGCCCCAATCCCCAAAATGGGCGCCAAAACCCGCGTGGTACCCGCGTACGAGACCGCCAAAATTTTTTTCAGGTAAGTTCATAATTCGGGGATGTGAGAAGCTAGAAGGCTGAAATCTTGGGGGAATATTCCCCGTTCAAGTAGGTATTATTGGGCTCAAACCCAGCCCCCGAGTGAGCGTGGTACCCAAATACGGACCCACCAAAATTTTTTTCGTGTAAATTGATAACTCAAGTGCCTGATAAGCTAAAGGAATGTAATTTTAAGAGGATATATTCCGTCCACCTACGTTTCATTCAGCTCGAACCCAGCTCTCAGGTATGCTTGGTAAATATACACGGTCCCGTGAAAATTTTGTTCCAGTAAGTTGCTAACTCAGGTGTCAGGGAAGCTAGAAAGCTGAAATTTTAAGCGGATGTTTTCTGACAGTTCTGGCGGCCAGTTTTAATTTGTTTAGCTAGAAGCATTTGCCGAAAAAACCGGTGCTGGTAACAAAAAAAACTGTAGGGAACCATGGAAAAAACGCATCTTCGCACGGGCAGCCCGTACGTTGGCCAATTATTGTACTTCCGAGAGAAGTGGCAGGGAGCCTTTCTGGGTTTGTTTTTCAGCTTGCTCGGGTGGAATCTTGGCGTGGGATGGGATGGAGGGATGAGGTGACAGTATCCGTCGTTGCTTGTTTCTCGTGAAGCTCCGTGTAACGGGTGGGAGGATGACAGTGACAGTTTGTTTTGTGGCGAATTAAAGCCAGTGAATGATTTTGAGGGCGAGCCAGGTCTGTCCTGGAGGGTGCGCGATGAAGAAGTTGTGGCGGTCGGTGCTGCGGCCAGTGAAAAACCGTAATTATCAGCAAGAAGCGATCAAGTATGCTGAGGAGATGGAGCAGTCACAGGTTGCATTTGTTCTCGCTCCTTTTTATACTCTTAATGCCTTTTTTTGCGGTCACTTTTGTGAGCAGTTTCATCTGTGCTGGATCGTGCGCGAGCAGCAGAATTGCTTGTCGTGCGCAAGAAAAATGCATCTTCAGTTGAGCAAGCGGTCTGGTCCCGCCTCGGTGGTATTGAGCCCCAGAAGTGGAAGCCCTACTGAGCCGGCGGATGGTTGCTGTTGACAGATGAGTGTTGCCATTCTCTACTCCTTGGAATGCCTTTTTTTTTAAAAGCGTGGTGCTGGTGAGCTTCATTTTTATGCGTTTTTGCTGTGCAGCGCTATAGCAGCCAGCAAAAACGCATATTGTCGAGAGACTGTCTGTGTGTGTGTGTGTTCGCAATGCGAGTGCA